CCGCCGCCGCCTCCGGGGTCAGTGTCCACAAGCTTTCTGGATCCCAGACCCGCACCTGGGCTTGAGAACCGGGGCGCGCTGTTGCCCCAGCGCCTCCCTCCGAAGCCACCTGATGGGGACCTCTTCCCAGGACAGAGAGCATGAAGGCAGGCGCGCGGGAGCCAAGCCTGAACGACAATCTGAGGTCAGGCCCTGGGCCGCCTGGGTGGGGAGAGGGGAGGCCTGGGCAATCAGGGCTCGACCTTCAGGCCCGGTGGGAGGCGCCCGATCTCGGGTCCCCATCTGAGGCCCCCCTCTGGCCAGGGCCGTGGTGTCCGTGCTGGGCTCTTGGCTTCGGGATCACCCTCAGGATTTCCGAGACCCCCCTGCCTACTCGGACCTGGGTAGTGTCCGGATCTTTCTGGGCTGGGCTGCCCCAGGGGGTGAGGAGGCCCAGGAAGCAGAGAAGCTCTTGGAAGAGTTCTTGGAGGAGGCCGATGGAGAGCAAGAAGAGGAGCAGCCTGCGCTGTGGGCAGGTGAGGGGTGCTGGGTACTAGATGCATTCTGGGAAGGCCTTTTCTGTATGATCCCTCGAATCTGCAATCCTCCTGCCTCAGCCTCCCAAGTGTTGGGATGACAGGTGTGCACCATGACACCGGTCTTGAGCTAGGTTTTAATTTTGTGTGTGCTTCAATTTCTCCACCTGTAAAATACATCATAGCTCCTTGTTCAAAGTATCATCAGTGAGCCGGGCGTCGTGGCGCATGCCTGTCATCCCAGCACTTGGGAGGCTGAGGCAGGAGGATCGCCAAGAGTTTGAGGCCAGCCTGGGCTACATAGCTGGGATTCCAGGTGTGCTCTGCCATGCTCGGCTCCTTGGTCCTTTATAGAAAACATCTGTGACTTCCACTATGCAGAAGTTTTGGGGTAGAAACGTCATCTCCACAGAGTGGCTTCCTATGACCTTCTCCCAACAAAATCCCTTCCCACCCTGTGCCCTCATACCCTGTCTCTTCTCCCCCACCACGCTCTGATACCCCTTCCTGTTGAATTCCTGGTGAGGAAGAGGAGGATCCTACTGGTGTCATCGCTGGCTCTGTCCCCAGCAGTAACAGCAGGGATTAGTTGAGTGGATAACTGCCTCCTGCTTAAAAGTATCAGCTTTGGCCCATCTGTGCTGGATCTGATCAGTATTCCAAAGCTCCTGGGGCCCTAATCCTAGCCCTCTAATCCTCAGATTAAAGTGACTGTATCCCCCCTCCTTCCACACAAAGTAGCAGCTACTTCTGTGGTCCTGGCCATAGACTCTCATTTATATAGTTTTAGTCCCTACCTGAGGTCCCCTCCTGGTTATAAAGTAGTCTTCTTCCCTCGACACCCAGGTTTTATCAGTTGATTCTAAGTCATTGGAGCTATGCGAGCTAATGTGGTAGCTTCTAGCCCATGTGGCAATTTCATTAAAGTTAAATTTCAATAAATGAGCCACACATGGTGGTGCACGCCTGCCATCCAAGAATTCAGAAGGCTGAGGCAGGAGGATCACTGAGATCGAGGCCAGCCTAGGCTACATAGGGAGACCCAGTCTCAAAAAACAGCAGCAGGGTCAGGGATTTGGCTCAGTGGTTCTGCCACCTGCCTTGCAAGCACAAGGTCCTCAGTTTGATCCCCAGTACAAAAAAGAAAAAAAAATTTCAGGGTGATTTTAAAGCACATCTGAGTTTCGCCCCCTCACATTTACTAGGCACCTCTGATAAGGACTTTTTTTTTTTTTTTTTTTGAGGAGAGGGCTCCCTATGTAGTCCAGGCTGGCCTCAAATTCACTGTGATCCTCCTGCATCAGCCTCCTGGAATTACAGGCGTGCACAACTACACCCAACTTTATTTTTTTGAGGCAGGGTTTACTATATTGCCTAGACTTGTCTCAAACTTATGTGTATAAGCCATCCTCCTGCCTCAGCCTCTAGAGTAGCTGGGACTGTAAGCACATACCATAGCACTTGGTTTGACAAGGAATTTTGTTTTTTTAATTGGTGCTGGGGTTTGAACTTAGGACCTTGCGCTTGTGAGGCAGGTGGCAGAACCACAGAGCTAAATCCCTGTCTCTGACAAGAACTTTGAAATGTGTAACTTTCATGCTCAGAAACATTTCCAGAAAAACCAGCATGATGGCGCACTCCTGTAATCCCATCACTCAGGAGGCTGAGGCAGGAGGATTGCCATGAGTTGGAGGCCAATCTGGGCTACATAGTGAGTTCAACGCCAGCCTGAACTATACAGCAAGACTCTGCCTCAAAAAAAAAAAAAAAATCAGACCGGGTGTGGTGCACACTGGTAATCCCAGTACTCCGGAGGCAGAGGCAGGAGGATCGCTGTGAGTTTGAGACCAGCCTGAGCTACATAGTGAGTTCCAGGTCAGTCTATATATATATATATATATATATATATATAATTTTCAGATCTCCTCATTGTCCCTGGATTCTCTTTTCTACAGTTGTTTCTTCAGGTTGGAATACAAAGAAATTCCACTCAAGGAATGTCTTAGTTTTTCTTACTGTATAACGGTGGCTTTCGTTGCTGTCACTGGGAGGAAAGGTCAGGTACCCTCACATCCGTCTTGACTGACCTATCTGCTTCCTCATGGTGTCCTGTGGCATGTTCTTCTATCCCTCGTAGCTGCTCTAAGATCTTGATTAGGTGTAGATATATTTTCCCCTCAGTGCCTATTTGTGAAAACTAATATTTTCTGGCTGGAGATGTAGTTGAGTGACAGAGCACTTGCCTACCATGCACAAGGCCCTGGGTTCCATTAACAGCACCACAAAAACAAAACAAACAAAAGTTGAATTTTTTGATGATAGCATGGATCAAACTCAGGGTACTTTACTACTGAATTGTGTAACAGTCCTTTCTGAATTTTATGTATGTAGAGACAAGGACTCACTGTGTACCTCAGGCTATCCTTGAACTCATAGAGCTTCTCCTGCCTCAGCCTCTCTCGTGCTAGGCATCTCCATGCCTGGCTTATTTATTTATAGATTTGATTTGGGGGCACGTGGTCTCATTATGTAACCCAGGCTGGCAACTAACTTATGATCCTCCTGCTTCAGCTGCTGAAGTGCTAGGATTGTAGCTATGCCACGCCTGGCTTTATTTTTCATTTTGACACAGGTCTCATTAAATTGCTCAGACTGACTTCCATTTGTGATCCTCCTCCTCCTGCCTCAGTCTCCCACGTAGCTGGGATTTCAGATACTTGCCACTGCACCTGGTAATAAACTGATATTTTGTGAGACCACCTGTTCTAATTTGATTTTTTTTTTGAGACGGGGGTCTCACTATGTAGTGAGACTGACCTGAAACTCACTGTGTAGCCTAGACTGGTCTCGAACTCACAGCAATCCTCCTGCCTCAGCCTTCCGAGTGCTGGGATGACAAGCGTGTGCCACCACACCCGGCTCTTTTATTTATTTATTTTTTGTTATTGTTGTTTTTGAGCACCGGTTCTAATTTGAAATGAGAGATGATTAAACAGACTGACAAAGGTAATCATAAAAGAACAATATTTTGCGACTAGGAGGGAGGAAAAATGAAAATCATTTACACAACAGTCCCATGCACGGTGCCTGGGGCCACCCACGATCTGTCCTGTCTCACTTGGGCACATGCTGAGAGTGTCCGTGCCTTTACTTGTAGGAGGGGCGCAGGGAAGGGGACAGCCACAGGCGCCAGCTAATGCCGGGAGTGCACTGGCCATGCAAGGACAAGAACAGAAATGTGGGCAACAGTGTTTTCCAAAGGGGTGAATGACGTTTGCAATTTCCAAACAAGCCTGAAGTCCAGTCTTGCATGGTCCTCCCCCATTCCTGGAATCAGAATAATTTGTTTGGGAGCAAAACAGTCAGATGCGAGGTGCAGATTATAGTAAATAGATTTTTCCATGGTACAGTGGTCAAGGGACGTTTCCATCCTCACTGAATAGCCCTCCCTTCCCTTAAAGGCAAGAGCTGAATTTCCTAAACATCCTCAAGACAACGCCATCGGTAAAGCCCACTAAGGAAAAATATTCCTGTCTATTGAATGGTTTCGTTTGTTTTTTGAACACGGGGTCTTGCTATGTAGTTCAGACCTGCCTTGAACTCACTGTGTCGCGCAGGCTGGCCTTGAACTCAACTGCGATCCTCCTGCTTCAGCCTCCTGAATGAGCTGGGATTACAGGCATGCGCCATCATCAGGCCTAGATTGATAATTTCATTCATTTACTTTTGCAGCGCTGAGAATTGAGCTCAGGGTTTTTGTACTGAGCTGTAGCCACAGCACCGCCATCCCCTTTTTATATGTTTATTTATTTATGTGTTTTTGAGAGAGCATCTTGCCAAGTCACTAAATTTGAATACACACTTGCGATCCTCCTGACGCAGTGTCCCAGACGGCAAGGCTCACAGACGTGCGCACACCGTACCGGGTCCAGTGTGACATTTTTCCAACCCTCAGGACCTCCAAGGGCCGCCCAGCCCCCCAGACCTTACTCCCCGGAAGGCTTCCCAGAAGAGGAGGGAGGGCCCCGGCGGGAAGGTCCCGAGCTCCTGGACTGCGGAGTGGACGAGGTGGCCGAGCAGCTGACCCTCATGGACGCGGTGGGGACCCCGACGGTGGCAGGTTGGGGTGCTGTGGGCGGGGGCGCAGGTCACCCTGAGAACCCGTCTCCCCCACCCCAGAAGCTCTTTTCGCGCGTGCGGCCC